ACACACACACACACACACACACACACACACACACACCCCTTTACTGCCCCCCTACTGGCTTCTGCAACTCCTCTCCCTCCCCCCATTCTTTTCAGACAGGCTCTCATTACATAGCCTAGGCTGGCTTCCAGCTTTCAGTCATTCTGCCTCAGCCTCCCAAGTGCTGGAATTACAGTCATGCACTACCACATCTACTCAGACTCCCCTCTCTTTGGTTCAGGAACACAGATAAGACTGACACAGAGACCACAATAGGGTCAAAGGACCAACAAACTCCTGGTCCCTTATCCTATCACTCATTAAAAGTTTAGGTATTTAAAAGAAGTTTTTTCTAAGAAACAGTGACTCTTCACTTGGGCCTACAGATACCCAATAAAAAACTAAAAGCAGAACAAAACTTGACCTTCATTTTGTAAAATTTTGAGTCCAATCCCTTCTCAGCTCTGCATGTAGACATATCAGTCATTAGGTGTCTAAAAGCTGGCAAACTTGATTAGCCCTAAATTTGCATAACCTATCTCATCCCTCTTGAAGACTGAGGACAGTCTTAAAAATTTGTTCCTTGTTTTGTTTTTTTGAGACAGGATATAACTCTGAACTCACTATGTAGCCCAGCTGGTCTTAAACTCAGATTTCTGCCTCCACCTCCCAAATGCTGGGAGTGCACAAGGTAATTTTCAGGGACATTCAACTACACTCAGAAGTCTCCATTACCCTGAACCTGCCGTCATGTTGGATTCCAGCAGAGCCTCACAGGACTGAGACTCCTCAAGAGGAAACAGTCATCCCATGGAAACAAAACTGCCCCCCGACAAGCCAGAAATTTTTCTGGAGTTAGGAAACCAAGAATGAGATCATGATCAACCAGACCCGTCTTTCACAGTACCCATAAGGCCCTTTCCAGTCTCTGTCCCTTCAGTTCCTCAAACTGAAGTCCCTTCCCTATTTCCTTTTACTCTCCTTTGTTAGGGGGCTTGATCTTTGTCAGAGGTGTGCTGTACTGCCTTTTTTGTTGTTGTTGTTGTTGTTGTTTTTGGTTTTTGTGGTTTTTTTTGTAGGGTTTTTGTAGCTGTAATCAAACTCAGAGCCCTCAGAGCCTCGAGCTTACCAGGCAGGCACTGCACCACTGAGTTATATTGCCGGCCCTTCTTACTTTCCAGTTAAAACTATTTTCCCCTGTAAATTCTTGCTTAATGCGTAAGTTTTAATTTCCATTATCACTGAAGCATGGACCTGGGAAGCCGGTGACAGGCAAGTCCCGGATCCCCCTCTCTTAAAAAGAGACGGGATTCTTTTTCAGGTTGACTCTTGTAGCCACAGATTTGAGCCTTTTTCATCACCCAAAGGAGCCGATACCTTTGCACAGCGCAGCTCGTGCGGGCGCTCTTTTTGCACGGGCGTTTCCTACCAATGGGCGGGGTGTAATTTTTTTGCAACGGCCCCTTTCCCGCACGTTCCCAGCGTTGCACTTCTTTGAGCAGTAGTATAACCCGCTGGACACGCCACTTCTGTGTGACCCCACCCTTTCACAGGCAGTGGGTTCCTATCGCAGTATCTCGGGATCGCAGCCACGAGTGGTGGATACCAAGCTCCGAGGACGGTGTTCGCTTCTCTCCGGCGGCCGGGGCTACTTGGCAACTCTTTTTAACCTTTTGAGGAGCTAAGAGGTTGTCTTTCAAAGTTACTCAGACTAGTCATTTTATTTTATATTACTTATCTTATTTTTTATTATTTATTTGTTTGTTTGTTTATATTGCGGCGCCCCGACGTGTTAACAGTGGGAGCAGACCAAAGGCTGCAAGTTCGAACCAGAGAGACGCCGGAAGCAAACGTGTGGCGGTCACCTAGCAATCGGACGGCGTCCTCCCGGCAGGCCCTGCGCCCGGCACCCAGTGTCCCACGCGGCTCCGACGCGCACTACCAGTCCCACAATGCCCCGCAATCCCGCCCCTCTCTGCAGAGACCCCTC